TTGTAATGAAACTTTCTGGTCACCAAGATGGAAGCAATAGGAAGCAACACCAACAACACGTGTATATTAAAGTTCTTACCAAAAATACATCAAGCACCAACCACTCATCAGGTTTAACAACATACACTAAAGGAGCCAGTGCACAAGAAACAGCTGCACCAGCAGACTCCAGCAGGTTTAACATGCAGCAGTAACTGCACAAAACCAGTAGCAACACCAACAGCGCAAAAACCAGCAGCAACACACACCAGCAGACTCCAGTGAGTAAACATTTTAATTCTGGAAACCCCATAATTTACTTTTAAATTACTTATCCTATCAAGAGTTCCAATGATTGAGTAAACATTTTATACTGCTCTGAATTATGATGCTATTAACATAATGTTATAACAATGACTAAATTTTTTTTTCATAAAATTGCAATTTTTAAAATGCTAAAGATCTGTAAACATTTTCATCTTTAAAAGTTACTTTCTTCGATACTATCCTGTGCATTGCAATTCACATTGTTCAACAGCTATAGAAATATTAACTTTGCATAGAAACTATAAGGGCAGTTTGGTTATAAACATAATTTATTCCTCTTGCTACTTGACATAAGAAAACTTTAGCTTTTTGCCAGGGGATGTTGAATAAGAGCAAATCAACTAAAATTTCGGGACACATAACCAAGAGATAGATGTATCCTAGATGAAGATATTTGTTCTCCTATGAACTTAATGATTTTCTTGTTTTTTGAAATAAAATATATGTATATAGATAAAACATTTGAACATACCTTTTGGGGAAAAATAGATTGCAAGGTGACTTTTGGGGAAAAACATAGTTTTGTCTCTACTTCGGTTCAGACGGAAATGGAGACTTAGTTGATGAGACATATTACAAGCAGCTGGTGGGTAGTTTAATGTATCTCACTGCCACGGGACCGGACATGTTATTTGTTACTTGTCTCATAAGTACATATATGGCAAAACCAATGGAAATTCATCTACAGGCAGCTAAGAGAGCACTTTGATACTTAAAAGGGACTGTGAACTATGGAATTCATTATAAGAAAGGAGGAGATGGTGAGTTGTTGGCGTTTACGGATAGCAACTATGCCGGAGATATTGAAGACAGAAAGACTACATGTAGTTACATGTTTTCAATGAGTTCAAGTGTTGTTTCATGGTGTTCAAAAAAGCAATACAATCCAAAAGAATAATTAAAGCAAATAAAAAACAGCAGAAATCATAAAGTCATATACAAAACCTGACCAACCCACTACCTGAGACTCAATAAATGTTCATTCATTTCTACTACTGTGAAAATCTCAATCAGAGAGACACCCATTATTAATCACATCACTAACTTAGACCAACTCCCAACACTGCCTAGCAAAAATACACAAAAAAGTAAACACATAGTTTTGTCTCTACTTCGGTTTGTGTGTATTTTAACTAGGGTCATGCTAAGTAAGAATTTTGATAATGAATCTATTTTCATTAAATACATCTTCAAACTTGTTAAATCTTAGTTAATAAGTAGTCAAACTACTGTACTTTAACTAGTATATACTAACCAACATGAGAAAAATAAAATGATAAAACGAGCGAGACTTACCAAAAAAGCGATGTACGAGTTCATGGGATACCTCCTTCTCTAAATTGTCCTTTGAAACCTTGCTTCTTAAGAAACTCCATGATGCTTGATGTGATCTCAAAATGCTCGTCAATGTAAATATGAATCTTGTACGGGAAAGAAATACGCCTTCTCGTATAATCCTGTTG